AGGCTCCATCTGCTGGTGGAGGGGGCTGCAGCAGCTGCAAAGCCTGAATCTTGCGCTCCTCTGTGCTCGCCTGCCTGCCACTGCACACGAGCACCAGCTGTAAACTAGCCTACGCAGCCTATAGCACTGCTGCTAAAAATCACTGAGAGATTAGGCAGGTGATTAGTTAGTGATAGCACGGAGGGGATGGGATTTTTGGTAATACTGGTTAAACAATATAGAAAATAGGCATGTTTTGGGAGTACTTTATGTCTGAAAAGCTTACTGTAGAATTTATATTCTCAAATAATTGATAACAACTCAAAGGGTTAGGGGCAGTACATAATATTGGATTTTTTTTAGGTTTTCAGAGTTATGAAAGTCATGAAATTTGAAGTGGATGGAAAAAGTCTTATGAACTTGGCACTACTTTTTTTTTTTTTTTTTAAAGGAATAAATTAAGAGGAATATTTTTATGTTAATATGTATAATGGGTGACAAAACCACCTGAAGGGCTTTTATGGAGTTTGTAGATGTATTTTATGGAAGCTTCGGAGTTGTTAACCATAGTTAAGGAAAAAATTAGAAAGCGTATTGTCATATAAAGAAAGAAAGAAAGAAAGAAAAGGAAAAAGAGCTGTAAAATGATTTCATTCTTTTAGAAACTTTTGAAATTATATTCCTATTATCTATTAACTCTTATCTTTGCTTCACTTTGGTCACAAAATGTGCCATTTTCATAAACCTAACCCCATGAATACAAATCAAAGAGAAATTACCATGTGATTAGTCACTGACAGCAAGAGGTAGATGGGATTTAAGGTAGTGCTGAGTAAACAATTTAAACAAGTGCATGTTTGAGTGCAGTTTATGTCTGAAAAGGTATAATAGCAGCTCGATAGATCATTTGTAATCTCCGATAATCTTCTTTCAGTACTTGATGTCTGCTTCTGACCTTAGTGTTATTTATTTTCGTGTTTTTTTCCAAAACAGTAAGGATTTGTTTTCTTGTACCTCCTGTGGCACAAGAACGACATTTATCTAAAGCATATGCCCACATATAATTGTAATAAAATATTGGTATTGCTAACATATATGAATATATATACACACACACACACACACACACACACACAGACAGACAGACAGATACAT